TTCAGCATTTAGCCCAGTGATCTAGATATTATAGATTCATAAAAAAAAATTTATATGCGTTCAAGTGAACGGAAGAGTCGATTCACGCGGCAATCTTCATTGTTACACTGTTTTAAGAAATTGCCACAGCCTGGGCAACCACTACCCTGATCAGTCAGCAGCCATCAACATCAAGGCAAGACCAGCAAAAAGATTATGACTCGTTGAAGGCTTAGATGATGGCTAGCACTTTTTCACAATCAAGTATTTTTTAATTAAGGTATGCATGTGATGAAAATTGTCTACCTTCTTTCTCCCTGTCTATCCAATTTCTACCCATCCTTCAAGGACCAACTTAAGTTCCATTTATTATCTGAAAGGTTCCTCTGTAATGCCAACCCACATAAATATTCTTTCCCTTCAGTAAGTCACTTGATCAACAAGTCCTACTATGTGCCAAGCCCCGTACTAATCACTGGGGACACAAAGAGAGGCAGAAAACAGTCCCTGTTCTCAATAGGAGAGACATCATGCAAACCGCTGTGTCCAAACAAGATATATAAAGGACAGACTGGAGATAATTTCAGAGGAAAGGCACTAACATTAAGAGTTATTACTACATGATACATCAGGAAATTAAATACTCCTATGTTTTTGGTTTTTGTTTTGGGGGTTTTTTTGTTTGTTTGTTTTTATTTTTTGGCAATTGGGGTTAAGTGACTCACCCAGGGTCACACAGCTAGTGTCAAGTATTTGGTCTGAGGCTGGATTTGAACTTAGGTCCTCCTGACTTCAGGGCTGGTGCTCTATCCACTGTGCCACCTAGCTGCCCCTACTCCTGTATTTAAACCACTAATTTATTTATATGCATTATTCTCATCTTCCCATTAAAATCGTAAAGGCTTTAGGAGAAGGTACACTATCATCGCTTTCTTGTCTCCCTTGTAGTATCAGACAGAAATAGCCAGTGTGGTGCAGTGGCTTCGAATCTGAGTTCCAACTCCAGCTCTGAAACTGAACTAGAATAATTCACTTTACCTCTCAAGGATTCAGGTTTTTTTTCCATCTGAAAGGGATTGTCAGAGTTGCCCTACCTACCTCACAGGGTTGTTATGAAGAAAGTACTTTATAAATAAGCCTTAAGGTGCTAATAGAAATGTGAGTTATGATTATTATAGTAGATACACAATAAATTCTTGCTGGTTTAATTACCCCTTTTAAACAATTTTGGTTGATCATGTTCCCAAGTTATGAAAGATAAGGAATTTATTTAGAATTAGTAAATACTCAAATCTGCCTGTCCCTGGTATACAGGGTGTAGTAGAATAATTTTCTGTGCATGTTTTTCTACAAGTAAGGCCCTATAAATGGATCTGGAATTTTACAAATTTTACAAATGCCTGGAATTTTACAAAATCGGAGTTTAATATAGGAGCTGCACTCGAATGTTTCAAAATGACTTTTCAAGGTGCCCAAAAGCAATAGTTGAAGAAGAGAATTGCATTGAAAGGGGTGAAGAAGTTTAAAGAATGAAAAGCTTCCCAAGGCAAGGGCATGGAAGAAGACCTAAGACCCCATCACTTGGCCCGCTGTGCCCTTTCAAATTAGTGGAGATGTTCCACTATCTGAGCAATGTGAAAGGAGAAAATATTGAAATGAATGAAGTGCACAGAACCAGTTGCCATTTCCAGGGAGGGATGACACAAAACTCTCAGGCTAAGCACATTTTATAATTTACACAATCACTGCCACAAGAGGCCATCTATATATAATACGGCTGACCAGCTTACGGTCCTGTTTTGAGGGGCTCCCCACCCTGTTACAAACTTCCAAGACAGGCCTACGAGGCCGAAGGAAACCCAAACAATCCCCTGAGATAGTGGGACCTATCCTCCTGTATCTGGCCTATTATTCTCACATTTCACTATTCCAATATCTATGATTTCACCTAGAGCTTTCCTTCCATCAATTCAGGTTTCAGGCCATCTGTATCTTAGCAGTCCATTTTTAAGTGGATGCTTATAAAAAAAAATGAATCATGGTGGTGATGAACCTTATCAAACTTAATTTGGCTTATCCTTAGACAACAGGCATACCATTATATCATCAGTCCCATCCGTGAAATCTTTCCATACTGATAGGACTTTCCAGAGATTATGCACGGGTGGCAGAGTCTTCAAGAACCCAGGGCCACCCCCAAGCCACAAGGAGACATCAGGAAACCATAGATTTAGAGCTAGAAGATACCTTATAGGTCATAGAGCAATGTGGTACAGTAGAAAGAGCCCTGAACTGTCTCAATGAACTCAAAGTCTGAGACATGAGTTTAAGTCCCAGATGTGGCATTTCTTACCTGTGTGACTTTGGGCAGGTCACTTGCTATTTCTGGGCATCAGTTTCCCAGTCTGAAAAGTGATGGGCTTTGACTAGATGACCTCTTAAGTCTTTTTCAACTCTAAATATAGCTAGTTCCTTAGTTCCCTCAGCTACATTGCATAGTTTCTCCTTGAAGAACTCTGGACTGAAGAATACTCTAAATACCATGGGGCCAGTCATATCTAAATATTATATCATCCTTCGGCATTTCGCCCAGTGATCTAGATATTACAGATTCACAAAAAATAGAATTGAGTCAATTATATTTTTAACAGTCACAATAATTCCTCATTCAGGTTTCTGGAGAGTTCTCCCATGGACCACTTCAAAATATCTTTTGCTTGCTTTCTGGTACCATCCAGGATGTGAAGGTCCTGTTCATCTGAAGCATGGGCATCATGCAAGAAGGTGGGCATGAAGCAAGGGCTATCTTCCCACTCTGCCTTTAAGACATGAGCCCTGAGAAAAGGGATTGGGATTTTGCTCTATTTCCATTCTAGGCTTGGAAAATGGAGTCCAGGGACCCAGGAGATTGAGCCACAGTGACCTTTGAGGTCAGCCAGGATTCCAGGCTGGGATGTTGTTGTCAGCTTGGTAGGGAAGTCCTGAGAAGCCAAGGTGCTGGGGTGCAAGCCTAGGGAGGGCTTTGGACTTGGAAATTGGTGAGACTATGTTTTATAAAATCTGAGCTAAACCACGAATTGAATCCTCCTCTCATTCCCAGAAACTGGAAGGAGTGTAAAGGGGATTATGCCCCCAGGTGCTGGGGAAAAATATTTGTATGTTGTTTTTTGCTATATTTTTTGAAGTAAATTCTTTTGTAAAAGCTAAAAATAAATTACTAGGCTGTCTCAGCATCTGATAAAGTGATGCTAAAATAGAAATGCCATCTTTCAATATAATTCCCATTTGTTACCCATACTTTCAGTCAATATTCATTAAGTACCTACTATAGCATAGCCCATTGCTGAATTAGCCCTGAGGATGATACAAAGATAAGGAAAATGTCATCCCTGCCTGAAAGGAGTAGATAAGACAGATACCTCAAATTGCTATAATACAAATTAGAATATGATCATTGCATAAGAGGAGTCAAAATGCGATGAGATCAGAAGTCAGAGAGATGATTTCTTGCTTAGGAAATTAAGGATGGTTTCATGGAAACGGTACTATGGCATAGAAAAGACATAGTTAAATATTTTGACAGATATGTGATTTCCTTTATGTGGGTTCTCACTCCACCAACAAAGATTGCCATCCTTCCACACCTTATTCCGTGTAACTCCTGTCCACATCTTTCTAAAGATATTCCACAGAGGTCCCATCCAACATGCTAGAAACCTTCCTCTTCCTCTTTTATTTGCCTTTTTGTTACACTTTAAATTTTTTTTCAACAAACCAGCACTTATTTTCTCCTTCCTCCTACCCACCTGTTAAAAATTTTTTTTTAAATCTCTTCTAACAAATACACACAGTCAAGTAAAACAAATTCCTACATTTTCCATGTAAAAATTAATGTCTAATATACAGTTTGAGGCTAACATTTCTAGCATTTTTCATCATCAAGCCCTTGGAACTATTGTTGATTACTGCATTGATCAGAGTTCTTAAGCCTTTCAAAGTTGTTTGTCTTTACCATGATACTGCCATTTTTTAAATAGTTCTCCTGGTTTTTTGTTCACTTTAGTAGACATGAGTTTATACAAGCCTTCCTGGAGCTATCCATTTTGTCTTGTCTTATATCATAACAGAATTCTATTGCATTCATATGCCATCCAGTATTTCCCAATTGATGGGCAACCCCTTAGTGGGTAATTTCTTTAAGAAGAACTGGTATAAGTAATATTTCTTATATTCACTTGTTATTTTAGTATTTTTGATATAGCACTTGGGTTATCTGTTATCTCTCCTTCTGCCAACATGACCAGTATTCCTACTTTCCAACCAGAAGTTGAACAAGACCTTAGTGGGTATCTAGATCAACCCATACCCCAGCATGATACTTTCAACATCTCATACAATCTCTGCTTGTTGTTTGTTATTTGTCTTTAGTTTTCAAAGGGGATCAATGACATCACAGGTGACGTCTTGACTTGTGTGTGGATTGGATTTGAGTGAGGCAGAGTCATCAGCCTCACACTCTCTTCCAATGTGTCCAATGACAGGACAAAAGTCAAGACAACAACTGGTGATGGCCTGGGATGCAGTTGATGAATTTGGTGTCTTCAATGTCTGACCAAGCTCTGAGCACTCCACAGTGCCTGCTTCAGTCATCCTCATGGCCGTTGGAACAAATTCTTCTCATCCACCTATTCTTCTGGGGGAGGTTTTCACATGCTTGGGGTAGACATTCCTTTAACTCACCAATGGGTTTGAGGCCTGTCAGTTACCCTCAACCTGGTTTAACCCGTCTGCCGTGATAGTTTTACCAGAGTGCGGCTGCTGTACATGCTACAACTGCTTGGAGCCACAAGTGAGGGATGGGTGACAAGTGGCCACCAAAGGTGGGTTTTTCAGAACTGTTTATACAATCTCTGCTTGAAGACCTCCAGCAATGGGGAGCACAATGCCTCCTGAGGTAGCCCCTTGTGCTGTTGGTATCCAACATGCTTCTACACAAGACAAAGAAAAGATATTCCACTTACCTGTCCCAGTATTTCAGGCAGGCCCAAGAGCTGACCAGCAAATACTCCAATGCAAATGAAGATGGCAGTGACTTGTCCCAAAGATCCACGGATCTCTTTGGGTGAGATTTCATTCAGATACATAGGGAGGACACTGAGAGCAATGCCTGGGAAAGAAAGTGATTATTAATGAAACTTAGCTACTTTCTTTTAGCCACCAGGCAGAGAAGGGAATAGACACCTAGATGGAGATTCCACTGGATCCCAGTCATCAAATCTCAGAATTTCAGAGTTAGATGGAACCTTGGATTTGATGGCAGTCATCTAGTCCAAGCCAGACCTGAAGCACGAACCCTAACAAGTATTCCTCCAGCCTCTTTCATTCTGCTTAACCCCAGAAGGTAAAGATGGAAGTAAAGCAAAGCTAATCTCTGTTCAATATATGAGAGAGCTTCTTTATGTTTGTCGTTCCGTCATTCCAGTCAGGCTCAACTCTTTGTGACCATATTTGGGGTTTTCCTAGCAAAGATACCACAGCGGTTTGCCATTTCCTTCTCCAGCTCATTGTACAGATGTTTATAGTTATGGAATCAGCTACTCCACAAATCACTTCATAAGATTCAGTGCTAAAAGACCTTGGACACCAATGGTTCCACCTCTTCACTTTACAGAGGAAAAGTAACATACTCCAGGTCACATGGGTAGTAAGCTTCACAGACAAAATTTGAATTCAAGTTCTTTGACTCCAGATCCAGTTCTCTTTCCATTGGACTAAACTTTCTTTTCTCTGTTAAGTGTTAAGTAGAGAGATGCTGTGGAGGGGATTATGATGCAGGTGGTAGGGATGGGGAATGCAGAATGGACCACTTCTCTGGTTCCTTCTATTCTGAGATTCTAAGAGTCTCTGATTCTGTTACATTACAGTCTTAATTCCTAGATCCATTTTCCTAGAATGTGGCCAATAATTTCAATGTGTAAAGTTTTAATTTCCTGATTTGTATGGGAAAAAAGTTCTTTCTTCCATTTCACAGAGATTTAGTAAGATTTAACAGCATAATGTGTAAAGCTATGAAAATCTAAGATGTTCTGGAAGTGCAGAGGAATGATAATTTTGTTTTCCAGTCACTTTCCCTTCCTTTCACATGTTCTTTATTAATACATCCTGGGAACAGTGCATGCCAAGGTATTTGTTTGGAATCTTTAGTTTCATAACCACATCTATCTTTAAGCCAAGCTTATTTCTGAAGGCAGAAAGACAGCTACCAGTTTGTGTGGGAGAAGCATACAAGTCCCCAAAATAGCTAGGTTTCCAAACAAGACAGCAAAGGCATTATGTAAGATGCTTAATGGGATGCAAAAGGAGGCCATTAACAACAGAAGAAGAGAATCACAGAATCAACGAGGGACCTGAAAGATCATCTAATTCAGAGGTGTCAAACACAGGGCTGTGTAGGCCTCAGCCAACACTTCCTAATGAGGCTCAATTAAATTAAACTGTAATTGGGAAATATTTAACAAAACAAATAAAAACACAACATAACAGATAACATTAATGTATAGTTTTCTAATTTAATATGTGGCCCAAGGGATCCTTATATACAGTTAAGTGACCCTGTTTCTATTTAAGTTTGATCCCATTGATGTAATAAAACTTCCCACCCAATGTAGGAAATGCCTTTACAACAACTAACAGGCAGCCTATTAGCTTCTACCAAGAGATGGGGAGCTCACTACCTCCCTGGGCAGTGATTTATACTACTGAACAGTTCTGAAGCTAGAAAGTCCTTCCTTCTTTATTTTATGCTAAAATCTGCCCCTGTGTCTGTGGCAGATTGATTGAAGTTTAGCCCTATGGAACCACATAGAATAAGTTCACTTCCTTCTTTTACATAGCAGTTCTGCAAATATTTGAAAGTAAAGATGACCTCCAGCCTCTCCACCCTTCATCAAGTCCTCTCCTCCTGGTCTGAGCAACCCTACCTACATTAATCATCCTCATGTCCCAATCTGCAGTCTCTTCAGCCATCCTGGTCACCTGCCTCTGGAGATACTAGAGCATTTATCGGTGGCCTAAGCCAAAATGTGGCACTGTTTAACAAAAGGGAAGAATCACACATTTAAACAAGAGTGTTGCTTTGAAGGAATTTTCTTTTCATCTTCCTTATAATAAATGTACTGGGAAAGTTATTCAGACAGGAAATAAAACTACCCGCCACCCCTCTGGGCACTGTAGAATATTTGAAGGTTTAAGCAAACTGAAAAAGCTGATAAGACAGAGGATTTTACAGCTTGAAAAATGCCTTCTACAAATGACTGGCTGCCTCTGGAGACTTCGTCCTAACATTATTGCAACGTCTCATTTTAGCTTGCAGTTGACCAAGTATTGAACTTTAATAGGGATTCTTTCGTGCCTCTCCACTCCACATCTCAGTACTAAGCAGTATACACATAATTAGGGAAAGAACACTGGACTTGAGGGTCAGAAGAGTCGTTTTCAAGTTCTTGCTTCACCAATTACTAATGAGTCATCATAAGCAAGTCACTTCACCTAAGTCACAGTTCCCTCATTTGTAAAATGAAAGGATCAGACTAAGTGATGTCTATGATTGCTTCCAACTTTCGGTCCCGTGAAGCCTATCGCACTTTAAGGTTTATAAAGCATTTTCTTTGTACAACAGTTCTTTAAGGTAAGTAGTATAAAGATTATTAAATTCCACTCTACAGATGAAAAAATGAAGACTCAGAGGATGTCATGACTTTGCCCACGGTCATATACTTTGCTAGGATATCTTCCACTGCTAGCAGAATCAATAAAATATACACATAGCCATCTCACCTCCATCAATGCCCATGATGAACCGACCCAGGATTAGTATTTCAAAGGATCCTGCTTCGTGTGAGCAAGCCATAAGCACTGCAGCTAAAATGGCAAATGCATTGTTGACTAATAACATACATTTCCTAGAAAAAAGAAAGAGGTATCATCAGTACATGGTTGTATCAGGACATTCTGCTCACCTCTCTGCATTATAGTGCCAAGCAACTCAGTACTTGACAAATCAAGTAAAAGAAAGCAAGATGGAGGAGAGTGAAGAACAAGATTCAGAGCCAAGAGACCCAGGTTCCAGTCTTGGCTTTGACACAACGTATAGCCTTGAGCAAGTTAACTCACCTCTTTGGTCTTCCATTTCAATAAGATCAGACAGTTGGATTGGATAAACTCTAAGGCCTCTTCCAGTTCTAAAATTCCATGAATAGATAGAGTATTTGAGCTTGCCACTATATAACCTCATTATCAAGTGAATACTAGCGGCATGGAGCTAGACTATTTGCTACTAAACAGGCCAGTAAATTTACCATGATGCCAGGGCATTAGGCAGGGCCTCTTAAGGTGAGTATGTTTAGATATAGAGGGTAGAGCAAGGAGCAATGCATTGCAAGTTCCAGAGAGTCAAATTTCAGCTCAGCAAATGGAAGAGCTTCCCAAGAATTAGAGCTATCTAAAAGTAGAATGGTCTACCTCTCAGGCAGTAGTGAGTTCCACCTCACTGGAGGTCTTCAAGCAAAGATCTGAGAACCATTTTCAAGAATGTTGAAGAGATTTCTATTCAAAGATACACTTGACTTTCGAACTCTAGGGTCCCTTTGAACCTGCAAGTCTGTGATTCTATGTTTAAGAGTGTAGAGTGTTATAAAGAGCCAGCAGTGGGGGAGGAACCTGATGCTGACTTTTGGGGGAGGTTTTAGTTTTCCCAAGCTTATGGGGGAAATAGCTATGACATGTGCATAGCCTGGACTCCAGTGGTGGCCAAGTAATCGGGAGCACCATGAGAGTGACCTGATGGTATAAATGTGACAGTGCCTATTAGAAGAGCATGGTATAATAACAACAACAACAACAATAACAATAACTTATAAAGCACTTTAGGGTTTCCAAAGCCATATATATATATGTGTGTGTGTATACAGAACATATAAATAGCACATATATAGGATATATGTTACAAATATGTGTATATATGTTATATGTATGTATATATACACATAAATATGTGTGTGTGTATATACATATATGTGTGGATAACCAAGTATCCGTGAAATAATGTTTCCTATTGCCCTTTGCCACATGATGAAATCAACTCTGCCAATAATGAGACATCACAGTATGATTTTTGAGGAGAAAAAGTCACATGCTATAACTTTATATGCTGTTTAATGAGTTTATTAGATGAGCAAGCAGAAGCAGCTTACTTAGCCTGATTCTTACCTTCCAAGAACCTTTCCAATCAAAGTCACCATCATTGTGCCCACTAGGCCACCAATAGCAAAAATCGACACAGTCACAGACCATAGCAGCATTACAGTACTATCATCTATTGAGTGGCCGTATCTTCTTTCCCAGGTATCATTGTAGAAAGTCTTGATATACTGGAAATAAATGATATATTGTTATTTCTTTTTCTGTATCTTAGGAGTTAAAACATAACCTACACCCACATAAAAAAAAAATCCTTCCCTGACGATATACAAAATGTATAGGTGGTCAAATTTTCCAAAGGGCCTCATGTCAACCAGGTAAAGGAAGTAATTTGCTCATCCCTAGAATGAGCAATGAAAACATTTAGGCTTCCAAGTTTTTAAGTAAGATTTTTTAAGTTTTTAAGTTTTAATGTTCCATACACTTTTAAAAGCTGCTTAACTTGTTACCCCCATTAAAGAAAAGAGATATTGTGCTAAATCACAATGTCATACTAGAGAGATGCCTAAAGACATCAAAATAGAACAGGTAGAAAAGGTAGTATGTATTAGTGAAAACCCTGAATTCACTGACAACGTTTTTGTCATGGCTATGATGTTCAAGACACTGTACCAGGTACTGAGACAGATGCCATATGAATAAGATGTGATGCTTGACCTCAAGGAACTTACACTCCAGTAAAAGGGATTTGTACATGGATAAATATAATATATACTATCATATATAACAATGATATATAACATCATTAATAGGTAAGAGGAATACAGAGAGATGAGATCAGACAAGGGAGAGATCATTTCCAATTAGAAGCAACAGGGAAACCCATGGCTCCAAAAAAAAAAAAAACTAGTGGCGCAGTGTTCGAGGGGTAGGGAGAGAGGAACTCAATGACCGAGAGCTGAGGGCTTGTTGCTTGAGTCTCAGCGTCTTAGTTTGAGGCTATAGGCCTGACACTGAATATGCATTCAGTCTAGCCTTTAAAAAATGAGAGCACCAAGTCCCTGGCACCTCCACCTGGCTCTCATCCCTGGCTCCCCTGTGTTTAGAGTGGCTAATGCCATTCCCCCTACCACAACATATTCAGTCTTTACAGGATCCTAGAGGACAGGGGGCCCTGATCAATCTTCTGGTTCCTTGTTCCCTTCTCCCTGTGATTCAAAGGTGACATCTGAACAGGCAAAAATCTTTTCCCCTTGCTTCCTCTCCCCAATCCACCTAAACCTATCCTTCCCTAGTGCATATCCTCTTCTTCTGCTGTTCCCTTTCATTGTGTTCTCTGCCACTCTCACTCCATTGTTTTCAAACTCCCTTTTATCGTAGATCCCTTCACTTCTATTTCTTGCCATCTCCTGGTACTAAGAGTAACTTGGCTCCACCCTGAAGATATTGCATCCCTCACCATCCTTCTTTAGGACTAAATGTTCCTCGTCTCATATCCCTTAACACACTAGACCAGGAGAAGTAGGAAGAATCCTATTATCCTTGATTCTATTATTCCTATTCCCAGACTGTCCCTTTTGTCACCTTTATGCAGAAACTTCATTTCTTAGAGATTCACTTCATCTGGCTATAGCTCTTTGGACTAATCTACCAATGCCCAGGCAATTTTCCTTTCTTTCTCAAGGAGTCAGTCAGCACCAGATTCACAATCTACTCCTCTACCCCAAATCCTTCCCTCATTCCTAAGGATACCAATACACAAGTCAATGCAACATCAACCATTCTGACCAGCCACCAGCTTCTTCAACCATTATTCACTGCATCATTGTACCAAAGCCCCCTACTTGGATGATTATACTTAGGATATCATCATCAATCAATCAACCCATGAGCATTTGTTATTATACCCATAACTATGCTAACTCCATGATCCAGAACTGTAAAATTCCTCCTTTTAATCATAACCCCCTATTCTTCCCTATCTTGCCTTGTTCTTCCACTCCTCATCCTTACCATGCCTTACTATTCCCTGATCTGTCACCGTGAATAGAACACTGTCTCTGGAATAAGAACCAAGGTTCAAATCCTATCTCTAATAACAACTGTGTGACCAGGGGCAAATCCTTAAACCTTCCTAAGCTACAATTTCCTCATCTGTAATTGAGGGAACTGGACAAGGTGACCTCTGAATTCCCTTATAGCTTTGGATCTCTGACCCTATGATGCCTGCCCTGGACTCACTTTCCTCCCTTCACAGTCCTGACTCTAAGGTTCTCTAAGTTCAACTATAGACTATTTGCCCATCTTCACATCCTTTGTCTTCTTGTCCTATTGCCACTCACATCAAGACTTACCCCAACCCCAGATTACCTCGACCATTGGCTTTCTCTTCTCCATGATACTCCATATTCTATCTTTACACCTTTGGGCTAGCTTTAACCATGGCTGGAATGCGTTGCAACCTCACCTCTACCCTTTGGAATCCCTTGTTTTCTTCTAAACTGCTCAAGAATCACCTCCTACCTGAGGCCTTTCCTTCTTCCTACAGATTCAAGGATCTTCCTCTAAAAAAATTTATCCTGTATTTCTTTTAAATACTTGTTTATGCATATGCCATTTCCTCTGACAAGACATAAGCTTCTTGAGATCAGGGATTGTTTCATTTTTGAGCTAATAAAAATCAATGCTGCTAAAAGAATCGAATGAGAAATTTCACATCAAGTATCTTAAATAATAAACTGATATCCAAATTATATAGGGAATTGTCACAAATATTTATAAGTGGGCAAAGGATAAGAACAGTTCCAAAAGAAGAATTTCAAATTAACAACTGGAACTTATCCACACGAAAAAAGTTCTAATTCACTAGTGAGATACAGAGGGGGGATACAGAAGCAGAGTGTTATCTACACTGTCAGATGTTATCAATGTATCTGCTGACTTTATCACAAGGGAGGATTCAATTATGTATGCTTGGACAGGGTGGGAAGAGGGAAATGTATGTGGAAATGAATATGATGTTTTTTAAAAAAAGGTATCAACAAAACTTATCTTAAAAAAAAAAGTATAGGGGGCAGCTAGGTGGTGCAGTGGATACAGCACTGGCCCTGGAGTCAGGAGGACCTGAGTTCAAATCTGACCTCAGACACATAATACTAACCAGCTGTGTGACTCTGGGTAAGTCACTTAACCCCAATTGCGTCACCACAAAAAAAAAGTGCGCTACAAGACAATCCATTTATTATAGCCTGATTAACCCTATATTATGATCCTCACAGCATCCACTCCTAGCTTTCTTTTCTCTCCTCTAGCTCCACACTACTATCTATCCATTGGCCAAGGACTTCAACTCCTACTTTGTCAGAAAATTGAAGCAACCTATTATAAACTCCATCTTATTCCTACTCTGTTCTTCAATACCCCTACATACTATTCCCCATCCTCATCTACTTTGATCCAATCTGATGAAGACATAACCCATTTTTTCCATCAAGACCAACCCATCTACTTGTGCCCTTGATCCTGTGCATTCTAATAACATCTGGGAATTCTCCTCTTCTATCACTCTCTCTTTTTCTTTCATCTTCAGTCTCCCCTTATTCACCAGCTGCTTCCCTGCTGTCTACAAACAACCTTCTCCTTGCCATGTCATCAGGTTATCATCTTATATCTAGTCTCATTTTCACAACCCCCTAAAAGAAAAGTAATCTACACTTGCAAATGAGTATTCTCTCCCATTTCCTTTCCTCGCCTTCACTTTTTAGCCCATTGCAATATAACTTCCAACCCTGTTACTCTACTGAAACTGGCCTCTCCAAAATTATCAGTGACCCCTTAAGTGTTAAATCCAATGGCCCTTTTCAGTTCTAATCTTCTTTGACTTCTGTCTAGCTACTGCCACTGTCCTCCATCCCTCTTTTCTTGAATAGATCCTCCTCTTGACTTCAGTGACACTACTCTACCTTGCTTCTCCTCATAGCTATCTGACCATTCCTTCTTAATCCATTTTCTTGGATCATTATCCCATTTTCCAAAAGTTAATGCCCTCCAAAGCTTCAGGCCTTCATCTTGACTCTAAACTTTCTGTTAGGTTCCCATTAGTCCCAATGGGAGCAATTGTCATCTCTACACATATCTATCTATTTATTTATCTATCTATCTATCTATCTATCTATCTATCTATCTATCTATCTATCTATCATCTACCTACCTGTTTATATATACATATATTTATAATGCAACACATGAACACACATATACACATGAATACACCTTTGTGTATGTACATATGTGTACATGTGTATATACAGACATGTATAAATACATATTATAGATATAAATATCTGTGTTGTATTATAGGTATGTGCATATGTATATACACACACACATACACAGACAAAAACATATGCATGTACACATATCCAACCATAATCTCTCTTGTGAGCTCTAGTCTATCACCAAGTCCTTTGCCTATTTATGTACATATTATTATTATCCATGTAAAATATAAATTCCTTAAAGGAAGAGAATAGTTAAATTTTTTCCTTTTCCACTTTTAGTACAGTGACCTACAAATAAAGGGAACTTAATAAATATTTTAAAAACTAAATTAAAGTGGGAAAATGAAACTTTTACTATCAACTTTATAGGGCTGCGGTGAGGATCAAATGAATACTATAAAGCCAATGAAAGAGTAGTAAAAGTCTGTAAACAAATCAGATCCCAAAGAAGAACTGGAAATTATTGATCAAGATTAACAATATGAACAATTGCTCCAAATCACTACGAGGAACACGAAACAACTCTAGGATTTCATGTCATACTGGCATACCCCCCCCAAAAAAAAAAAAACCTGACAAAGAGATTAAAAGATGGCAATGTTGGAGGGGCTATAAATAGACTGGCACACCAACACAACACGGATAGAGCTGTGGATTGGTCTGACTCTTCTGGAAAGCAATTTGAAATTACAGTAAGTGACTAAAATATCTGTACCCTTTGATCCAGAGGTCCTACTGCTAGGCTCTTTAAGTAGGTGGAAGACAAAAAGCACATACGTAAACATTCATAACAGCACATTGTGTAGTAGCAGACAATAAGAAAGTATGAACATGAAAAATTCAGAGATGTGTCAGATGACTCATAAGAACTAATGCAGGGCAAAGTAATGAGAAGCAGGAAAATAGTATACACGACTACAACAATGTAAACAGAAAGAACACAACCACCC